GGATGTAAAGTTCTTTATCGAAGCTCATCGCAATCAGCATAGCCCTTCAGAAGTAATAAAGTGCAACAACAGCGATGTTGCTGTCTTCGCATCTGAATAGAAATTCTCTTCAGAAGTCATTCTCCAATTATATATACAGGTCCGTCAATCAATAAGATCTCTCTATTTTACGTTGTCCCACTACAACTTCCTTGCCAAAAATGAAGTGTATTCCAACTTTAAGTAGTAATCGCAGAAGTTTAGCAAACTGCAAAATCCGTTTTTCAATAAACAAGCTACTGTTTTTCATCATCTTAGGTTTATGAAAGTCTATGAAAAAGCTTAGTTCAATAGTGATCGGAATACCCAGTAAAAGAGTTAATTCCGATCAAGACTGGTTCCAAGTAGTATCAAGTTCTAATCTGCGTACCTTCTCTGAGCTGATTCTAGCCAAATTATACATTTATGTTTTGAAATAATAATTCTGTATATAAGGGTCAGCAGAAGACTTCTAAATCGCTAATTTTTACAGGAGAAGATAAGAATAATGTGAGAATGAGAATACCTGTGAGAATAATTATTTTCATGTCCTAATAAAAAAATACGCTTTTAGGCGCGTAAAAAAATTCTTTTAGACGTATTAATGCTAATTTATAACACAACAAACATAACGCTAACAGTTGCCGGATATGTTAAACTTTGATATAGAAGTCCCACTAAAGAGTTGGTGCCGCCGAAGTCCTCTTAAAAATGACGATAAAAAATCTGAATCAAATATGACTTTGGTTCAGAAAGCTATAGTTATTGATAGCGACACCTGTGAGAATGGGTAAAAAATATAAAAACTTGAAGCTACTATTAACTTCTGTTACGCCAAAAAAGACCACTTGGGCGACATCCCGGTAATAACGAGTATTAAGGAAAGGTCCCAACCAAGCAAACAAAATAACAAATGTGAGAAAGTTTAAAATTCATACTTCACTTATATTAAACACTGGCGAAGACAACAAACGTATCATGCTTGATAGGAGCCGCATTTAATTTAACGAGTAGGCAAGCTATGCCTAGCAATAAACCACACTTTATGCAACTTACCAAGCTAAATGACGCGTATGGACACAGAATCAACAAAGAAAAACAATTAAGTACTCGCCTTATAAAGTTTCCGAAGTTCCTGTTTTTGAGTCTGATTCATAACTGTGAGTATGCGAGCAATGTTTTTCCTGACAGTACGAATTTTCAACAACTTGGGTAGAGTTCCGCCAGTCACTCTAGAAACCTAAAACAAAAAACCTCAGAAATATTACCACAAATAAGATTTTCTTTACCATTCTGATTTTGGACAGCAATTTCTTTCTTATGATTTATGTCTTTTGAATTGTGTTAAATTAAGAGAAATACCCGAATTACCCTGAAAAAAAAATTTATGCTTTTGGAAATGGGGTAAAGTTAAGAGTTCCTACGCCAATAAGAATGTTCCGAAATCTTGGGAAAGCAATTCTGATATACTGTGTTTCCTACTCAGAACTTTCCAAGAACGTTCTGAACGAGAAATATGACACAAACAACAATTCGTAAACGTGAGTTTGCCACGAGTCAAAGAACTAAGGCCTTCGCTACTAATGACACGACTGTCAGACAGCATTTAAATTTATACTATAGCAGATAAGACCTAAAATATATGCGAAAGAAAAAGAAAGTATCTAAAAAAAAAGAAAACTGGACAAAGAAAAGTTATTCTCCGCACTCCAGTACCACTCGACACCATCCAAACTCGGAAGAACGTGAAAAACAGCTCCCAAGAATAACACTTTAACTGATCACAACTAACGAACACCCACTAACGTGACTCTAGCCAATCACTGGCTCTGCCATCACGCCATGGAATGCACTCCTTCCAGTAACATTAATGAACAAACTCTAGGCCTTAGGTGAAACTTAAATCCACAACAAACACCTCTTTGAATACTGTTTTCTTGATTAAACTTAAAAGGCGCTCTACTCAGCACTAAATATACGGTTTCCCTATATCTTCATCAATAACCTCCCGATTTTTCACATACAGTAGTCTCAAAACACGCTTCACGGTACAGATTTAAGTGTTCGCTTTTGACATCTTTATATCTCATAGACAATTAATATATTTAGTATAACGGCTGTCTACCACCACCTCCTTGCAACCAAAGTAACCAGAAAATCCAAGATTACCTTTAACGAATACAACAACCAAGAATTGTAAACAAGAAAATAAACTATATTATTCAAAAGTTACGTCACTTTTTTGTTCCAGAAAAATAAAAAACAAGTTGAAAGAAATTTTGTTCTAAATGAATTCGTAAAAAGCCTGAATAATGCTGATTTAAAAAAATTAAAAAATGGGCTAATGGGCTGTTAAATATTTCCGTAACACTAATCTAAAATTTCAGCAATAGCTTCTGCTAAGCCCTTTCCCGCACTCTGAATAACCAGAAAAATTAACATTAACATACCAGAAAAACGACGCAAAAAAACCCTCATCTAGTCGCAATTTGTTAACGTTCAAAAAAACAAAACCTTTACAAAGAAAAAAATTATAAAAAAATTGAAGCAGAGAAGTCTTCACCTGCAATGAAGCAAGTTCTATTTTTTGTTCAGACAGTGCTTTCTGTAATTCTTCCTTCTTCTTTCCTCGGAGCTCCCGCGCTTTCACTTTTGACATTTTTGCCCTGTAACTCAAAAGATCACTTACATTTCATTGAACCCTACCTTTAAATTACTAGATGATATAAGCGAAACAGTTATTGCAGTTTACGGCGCTCGATGTCAAAAAGTTTTTGTCCTGTAGTAGCAATCATACGTCAAGTTTTGCATTTTTTTTTTTTCACTGAGCATTCCAGGTTTTGAAAGTTTGGTGATCAACAGCCTGGCCCCGGATTAAAAATCCAAAAAGACAGTCGAGGAGAGCAAACTCCCTATCTAGCTATAACTCGTTTATATTCGTAAATTTCTCACTTTTCTGTGCAACTTAGGGCTTCTGGTATTTCTAGTTCAACTACCTGTGCATAAGATTACACATTATCGACACTAAACAAAAATTTAAGTAATAAAAGGTCCATGCAAAAAGCAAAAACACTACTATATACAATAAATATAGAAAATAAAAAAATAAGAAAAAATAAAATATTTTTTTGGACTTGCTAGAAGACCTATTAGTTTTTAAGAAAAAGAAAATTTGCTGAATTTTTCGCTGCCTAAAAAATGAAAAAATTCCGAACTAAAAAATGGTTCCAATGCAGAGCTACACTATTTTCAGTAAACCAAGATGAGCAAATTTCAGCATACTTTAACAGATTAATTATTACTAAAATGCGCTTCCATTACACGTTATACATTCAGACCACGAAACTTCATTTAAAGCGAAAATCATCTAGTCCTACTAACAAATAACAAAACTATGAACTGTAAACAGTGTTCCGCGTACGCAGACAACACGAAGTTTTCTAGTTTTAACCGGCTGTAAATTGGCGGTTGAGACCCAAAAACTTGCTTTTCCCGGTTTTTTTTCCTTCAATTTTTTCAGAACTGGAACTAGAGTCTACCAAAAAATGAATTGAAAAAAACTTCTGAGATGTCAAAAAAAAAAAAAATGTGGGGTCTGATGCAACACCGCAAGTTTAAACTCTCTCGACTTTCTTGAATATACTTCTCGGTCTTCACCTGTCGCAGTCTCAGACGAATAATAAGGTAGTGCATCAAAGACGCGACGAAGCTTCTAAACTTCTTTTTGTTTCCCGCCAGTTGCGTAATACTCGACTACCTTTACAAATTACTTGGATAAATGAAAGACTAAATTAAACCAATTTCTTTGGAGGTTTCCACCGCCAATAAATACTTTACTTCCGGAGAGCCTTATAAGGAAACAGTGGATTAAAAATGGCTACGAAACACTGAGAAGAATACCAATATAACACTATGAAGAATCTAGATACACCTAGTCAGGAACCCACATTACGCTATAAAACAAAAGTTCTTGATGAATGTGCGATAAGTAACTTTCATGAAAATTCTACAAAAATCCCTGTAAAAAAAGATAACAAAATCTATAAATCCAATCAAAAGACTGAAGCTCAGTAAGTTCGGATGTCCAGGCAAGGGTTTAGTGGCGAAATCGCGAGCAAAAAATCTACATATTTTTCAACAAAGAGAAACTCCTGAAGTTTCTGAAACTGCAGTTGTAATACTACCATTTGGAAGTAATCCCGTCATCTTTACAAATGCAAAAGGCACACGTTAGCGTCAGGATATCAAAAAAAAAAAAAAAAAAAAAAAAAAAAAAAAA